AGGCTTTGCATTTGCCTGTCATATTTATTTTTATGCTAATGTCCAATAATCTACAAACACACTGACACAGTCGGGGCAATGCGGTGGCACCATGCTGGAGCGTATGCTAATGCTTAGCATAAAAGGAGGTTTTGAATTCTTCTGCACTGTTCAGCAAAACACCGATTAACGCTTGAAGGAGATTTCTGAAGAAAAAAGGAAAAGAGCTAAAAAAAAAATCTGTTATAACAGCTGCATTCTGGGAGGTCTGTCAACTGGTAACAGCTAGCTTATTGAACATTTTTCTAGATTTTCTTTTTTTGTTAATTTATAGTTGGATTTTTTTTATTTAACTTTATCAACCTGTTTAAAGTCCAAAGATCAAAGTCTGGACAAAATTTTAAATTTTTGAAAACACCTTACCAGCAGAAAAAAAGTTGTTTACTCATTCTAAAATGTTAAAAATGGAGGAAAATAAATGTGTTTTGAAGACTAAAAATCAAAAGTCTAATAAAGTATTTAAAATATGCATTAAAGTTGGTAATAAAAAAAACTTTTTTAACCTCTGAGCCATAAACATAGATAAGATTTAATTTGAAGATAACTTCAAAGGCTGATAGCTAATTGTTAGCTCAACAAAATTTACAAAGGCTGATAGCTAATTGTTAGCTCAAACTAAATTTGTGATACTTTACTAATGCAAGACGAAACAATCAACAGCCAAAAAAAAAAAAAAAAAACGTGATGAAAAAAGGTTTAAAAAAAACAGTCGTCCTTTAAAGTATTGGCCGTAAAATGGAGACGCGTTTTGGCTGGAACTTTATCTTTGTACATACTTTGGTAGTTAATTAAGAAGTTGGCTTCAGAATGTATTTAATTTAGAAGCACTGGCAGTAATTAAAAAGGTTAAGTTCTTTTTTTTTTTTTAAAGGTCTCCACTGGGGCACAGCATCAGAATTAGCATCAGCAGCAGCAGCAGCAGCAGCAGCAATCGGGTGCCTGGAGCCATGCTGACCGTGTCATGAGGCAGCAGTATTTAGAGGAGAGAGAGACGATGAGAGAGGTAGGAAAAACACATCAAATATTACTGTGAAACATACACAAAACTAGTAGTGGATGTTCGTTGTCGTAGTAACACCAGGTAGTGGTCCACGTGGGCCACACATTTTTGATAAGCTGGGCTACAGAACTGCCACGTTAGATCATGGTGTCTGTTCTCCTGGTTTTTTCACGTCGAGTACTCTGACAGTTGAAGTTGAAGTCGATTGGTTGTGTAATTTAATGACATCATCACACTGACCTAACCTACAGAGACGTGATTATTGAAAAGACCTGGAACTTGTTGGTTGTTGGACTTGGAGTTCCTCTCTGGACTTGAAAGCTTTGTTCATTTAAGACCTTGATTTTTTGGACCAAAGGTCAAATTATCACACATCCGTTTTTGTTCCATTAATGATCGCAGTCTTCTGGTAATTAAGCAACCGTCTGGGCGTGAAGGGAAGTTGAGCAGAAAATAAAACACCACAATAAAAGTAAAAAAAGGAAGATTGAGCAGAAAATAAAACGCCACAATAATAAAAAAAAATAAAAAGTCTTTTCCTTAACAATGCCCTACTTTGCTGAGAATTAAGCCACAAGCAGCGTCTGTGATGTCCTAAAATATTCATGAGACAAAATACAAACCTTTGGCTTTGAACCTTTCTCTTCTGCCCCAGGGGTAAAGATCTCTGTGGTTTCACTCCCACTCTCTCATCTCTCATAGTTTATAGCCTCTGTAGGCAGCCCGGCTCTGGAGGAAAAAAAAAAAAAACAACTCAAAAATACACCTTAATTTTCCTGTTCAGGATTGAGTGACAGGCAGGCAGAGTTAGGCACCGTTATGGTGAACAGTGGAACGTTTGGCTGTGAAGGGTTCAATTCCCTGAGGATGCAGCTGAAAGATAAAACAATTTGCCTTCATCTGGAGGAAGCCAAAAAAAAAACAGGATTTTGCAACAAACGGTTCTTCTGCTAATTGTCTAAATGGGCAACTATTCTCTAAAAAAAAAAAAAGTTTGTTCTCCAAATTTACGACTTGTTTCCGCCTTAATTAAATAGAAGCAACATCTGAGCACAGAGTCTGACAAGTGGTACACGTCGGTGAGTGTGTTCTCTGTGGCCTGGACTCAGTTGATGGGGAAGTAATGAAAGCATCACGGTGCGGCCACACGGCCAGGAGATCACTGACCTTCACCCTGATTCGCTCGCCTGGATGAACGCCGCCGCCACCGCCGCCGCCTCGTCCCACTCCTGCAGCCTTGGCCCGGCTCGGTTTATACCATAAAATCTGCACATAAACCACAGCAGGCAGAGATACAGTACCTCCCTGACTAAACGAATCCATATGAAACGCTGTCACACAAACAACGAACAACAGCGTTACAAACCGCTGTCTGGTGTCGTCCAGCGTGCGCGCGGTAAACAAACAAACGCAACAATGTAACCTAATCAATTTCCCCGATCTTATTAAATGCACAGACTCAAATTTAATCTCCCTTTTCATTAGACGTTGTATTACCACGTCTGCCTTCGATTACTGTTTGTGATGCATGATATCATCTATTTCTTAATCAAAACCATAATCACTGAGCTTCACAACGCAGACGAGTGCAGACGAGGATCTTTAATCAGTGATAAACTGCACGGTGAAGGAAAGGACATGTGTGTGAATTATAGTCCGCAGGCGCTGAAGACTGTCCGAACGGTGGTCCCTGTGGGTCGGGGGTCTGAAGTGACCAGTGTGGACCCCTGGCTGTGGCCCCTGAACCTGGTTAGAGTTTAGGATCAGACGCTGCTTTCTCAGGCGACTTTTTCAGCTCTTCTTTCTGTGACTTTGGTTCGAGGTTGGTTCACTAGTGAAAGATTTTGAAATCAGATAAATAAAAAGAAAAAAGACATATTTTAACTCAATTTGATAAAAAAAAGCTAAAATAACTGAAGCTGTCCAACAGTTTTTGATCTAACTCCATCTAATGCCCCTTTTCTTTTTTTTTTTTTTTTTTTTTTTTTACTTTTTCAAATTAAATACAAATTGAAAGTAACTGGATTTCAGTCCTTAGATAAGGCAAAGACGCAGCCTGTGACCAGGTCACAAAGACAATTTAATGTCAGGCCTTTAAAATGGAACAAAAAAATTCTGCCTCCAATAGAAAATATTGAGGAAAAACAAACAAACAGTTTTAACAACAACTCCCTAGACATGGCTATCGTTTTCACTCGGCCGTTATTGGTCCTTGTCCGTTGGTCCATGTCCGTCGGCGCTCAAACTCTAATGAAAACCATTTGACGACTTCTGCTATCTGTTCTGTACAACAATTGAGCATTTGTTCCGTCTGATAGCGATGAATAAACAGTGCTTCTGTAGAGGACATTTAATCTAAGTCTGTGTTTTCCTCTGGATACAAAGCTATTAATACCCCAGTGAAGCAGCAGGCATCGTGATTCACAGCTTGCAACAAGCCTTTCTGAGAAAGGGAACAGTTTATCAGAAGTTAATACAGAAATTCAGACTCAGAACTTCTTAAAACCCGAGCCGGCGATGGCCTTTAGTTTCGCTGCTGTTGTCGTGTTTGTCAAAATGCCAAGAGGATTAGAAAAGCAAACACTGGAGTCATCAGTCCATCAAAGCCCGAGTTCCAGACTGGAGTCTCAGTCACTTAATACCTGCAGTGTTAGTTACACCTTCCACCTCAGTGTGTGTGTGTGTGTGTGTGTGTGCCTGGTAGAGCTGTACTAGTGGGGACACCTTCCTGGCGAACGGCCATTGTTTTAGGGACACGTCGTCCTTGTGGGACTGTTTTGCAGTGAGAGGATGTTTTAGGTTGAAGATGAAGTCCAGAGTCAGGATTAGAATCTGAGTTGTTTTAGATTCAGATTGAAAGTAAGAGAAATGCATTATGTGAATGGGAAGTGCTCACAACACACAAAAACCGCCATAAGTGTGTGTGTGTGTGTGTGTGTGTGTAAACAGCCTCAGTTTGAACAGACTGCTGCTGAGCAGTGCAAACAGGATTTACTGGGAAGCATTGAAATCTTTTATTTACAATATGTTCTTACTTTAACTGTGACACAGACAAACACTCATCCTCTGTCTCTGCTTCTTCCTGATTGGCCGCTGCCATACAAACTGCACACTCAACGGGATTCCCAAATGAATCACCCGATGATATCAGAACCTTCAATCTCCTGATAACAAGCTTGATCCTCTTATCACGAGGCCAAAGGTCGTGTGTAATGTTTTGTCATGAATTGTTTTAGGAGCTGATTTGTTGCTAATTTGTTTATTTAAAAAAAATGCTAATTACTAATTACATCATGTCATATTTCTAGTGTTCTCACAGTGAAATCACTTCATCAGGTCACTGAGAAAAATGAGAAAGATTCTAGAACAAGATGTAGGCCCATAATCCTTTGCTGTATCATATGTGGGTTAAGCTAACTAACTAAGTTAAGCTAACTAACTAACCATAGCCCTGAGTCAATGATTTGAAACCCTCCATGAGAACAGCGGCGGCGGCTGCTGCGACTCCTGGTTTGGAGTCTTTGTAGCTCAAACTCTGCGGCTCTTTGATGGCACACATTCCTGGACAGTTAGTGCGTCAACCTTCCTTGTTGCGTCAGGTGGATCTGCATCCCTGTGTTCGCCAGGAGGGTGGGGGACCGCCTGTGTTTGTTACCGCTCCGTGTCATCTCTGCGCGGCGGCCTGACATAATGTATGCTTCCGTCTCTTGTCAGCGTTAAATATCCAGAGACGCCGCAACTACTGCAATTATTAGATCCATCCTGATGACACTGATGTTCCCGCGCTTTCATTCCCTGTCATCTATGATGCAAAAGTTACACAAGGTGCATCAATAATACATTGAATGCAATTTGAGAAAGCCAACAAGCTGCGTGACACATGAATATGCAGACGAGCCCACTTGAATTTTTCACGACATTTTTTAAAGTTTATTCAACATGCGGGCTCCTTTTTTTTTTTCCGCGGCGGCTGAAGTTACGGAGGCATGACAGAATTAGGGGGGAAGACAAATGTTTTATGCGCTAGCTCCAAACAGAGTGATCCGTATACAAGCTCATAGCATCAAAGCTAGGGGGGGGGGGGGGGGGGGGGTTCAGAGGGGCAGTCATAGCATAATATCATCAAATACACCTTTAAAAATGGTCATAAACGTTTAGATGCCACCAAGTTTGCGGGGCCACAAATATGTGGGTCGTGGGCCGCAGGTGGTTCGTGGACCTATTGACTCAGCTATTATCAAATAAAAGTCTGGTTTTAGCCTAACTAGCTGCTAACTAACTAACCAGGTCTCATGCAGTTTGGAGGTACTTTATGTTTCCATTTTTAGGATTACCTTACAGTACCGACGGCGGTAATGTCAGTGCACAAGTACACAGAGATACTGTGTATTTAACGCTGCTTTCAGCGATGTGGAAACAATAAGACGCAAACACTCTCTCAGCTCACTGTGGAATAGCTGTGCACATGGCCCCAAACAGAACAGCATCCAGAACCGTTGGCTGAGTCAGGCCTCATTGGTTCACTGCAGCTCAGCCTCACCTCAGCACAGCTCCTGCAGATGGATGTCAGGAAATCCCTGCAGCTAAAGAGCCAAACGCAGGGAAACGTGGAATTGTGTTGAAAGGACAGTGAGACAAGGCATGTAAAAAGAACAATAATTTAAAATAAATAAAAGACATTCTGGAAAACATGGTTTTATTAGCACTAAATGATCGGATGTAGCAGCTAAAGAGCCAAACGCAGGGAAACATATATATATATATAATCCCAAAATCCATAATCCCAATTCTGCTCTATGTTTTTATTAGTTCAAATTTATTATTATTGAAGAAAAAGTCACTGTTTAATAATGTACTCTTTAGTAAATGTTCAGCCTGTTCAGACTGCGACCTCGACTGTGTTTTGAATTTTGGCCTCTTGAGTGATTGTGATTGTGATTGACGGCCCTGCAGCAGAGGAAACCAAGTCCTTTGGATATTTTTGATTTCAAAATAATTGGTTG